GAACCAAGATATTTGAGCTCAAAGTTGACGGTGTGGGTGGGCTTCCATTGGAGCAAGTACAGCATTTTCTTCTAGACTTTTTGGAACAATTCTAGTTGAATTAGGTTTGAAAACTCTTTGAATTTTGTACCATTGGGAAGCCAAAGATTCGGGGAGTCCAGAAATCTAGATATCTTCCTTAATGGTCCAATTTGAGCCAAGTTACGAGTCTTTTAAGCAAAGTACTACCTTTGAACGTTCATAACTCGGCTCATTTAGCTCCGATCGAAAATTGAAATACATTTTTGGGATCTTCAGGCTTTCAGCTTTTAGGTCATGTGAAATATGATTGCTCTGGTTGAATAAAACTACGCCGAGAACAAAGATAAACAAGGTTTATATCATTTAGGAGCTCTAAATGAAGGACTTTTGGAAATTAAAAAAAAATCCTTTAAAGGTGGGGGGACATGAAAAAAATAATGTTCTCGAAATTCCGTTCAAAGATGCCCCTCGAGGAGTTGAACTTGTGAGGGCGAGGATTGAGGGTGCGGCGCCGCTACCGACTGAGCCACGCGGGCAAAGAGAAAGCGCACGCCCGATTGCATACATAAAGGCGAGGACGACAGCTGTACGCAGAGTGACATTAAGCGTTGTACACCGTCACGGTAGAATGCATACTCTAGCTACAAAAAAACTACGAAAAATCTCCTGTCCCCCCACCTTTAAAAATCTAGTTGAGCAAAGTTTAAACCTTCATAACTTGGCTCATTTAGCTCCGATCAGAAAATGAAGCATATTTTTAGAATCTTCAGATTCTCAGCTCTCAAGTTGATATCTAATTTGCTTTTCACTGATTTTTAAAATGTGGTCAAATTCTCACTTCATCCGCCAATCACCCGCTGGTCACCCGTTTCCTTCAAATCTAGAGATCTGTCTCTTTTTTTCCATACCTATCAATTATCTTATTTTTTTTTCAAAAACCATGTTTTTTCAGATTACTCATCCTAAAATGGGTAATTTCATAGAACCAAAATATAGACAAGGAAGAGGAAAAATAAGATAAAGGGGGCGGAGTATCTCTATATCACAGGGGATTTGGGTTTTTTGGGTATAAGAGTTTAGAAGTTTTTGGAGAATTAATTATTTTTCCATTATCTAGCGATTCTCTAGTCTAGCCTTGTCTAGCCTAGCTAAGCTCAGTCTAGCCTGAACTCGCTAAACTAACTAATTAACTAGCTTAAGTTAGCCTAGCTTACAAGCGCCTCAGATCTTTAGGCCACCTCTCAAACTTAGAATTCTATCTTCTAAACTTTTGGGATCCTTAGACCAAAAAGCCATTTTGGGAGACAAAACACTTTTAAAATTCGAGTTTCGTACCCCTTAATCACTTTGAACCACTTGTACCCTCTAAGCTAGACTTATTTTAAGCTAGCCTAGTTGAATAGTTTCCCAGATCTTTAGGCCACCTCTCAAACTTAAAATTCCTTTTTCTCTATACCCCCCAATCTCTAACTACCGTATTCCAGCCACAGCCGTCCCAACCATGTACCACCACAACCCTCACTACTTCCCCAAGAACCCTCGTGCTCTCTACTTCGCCGCCCCCACCCGATCCTCCAACTCCCCCCAATCCACCATCGCCGCCTACTTCAACACCGCCCGTGCCCATCGTCTGATTCCACGTGTCACTCGTCAAACTGCAAAAAGTGTCTACGACAAACACAAGACCATTGTGATCGGGTGTGCTGTGGTCCTGGCTTGTGTGGTGTTGTTCGGAATGGTTCTCAAGATTTGCTTCTTTTATGGAGATCGGATTTGGAATCAGATAAAGGAGAAGGAGATGGGGATGGAGGGATTGGTGGAGCCGTTGGTTCAGGAGTCTCAGGAGACAACGACGACGACACTGAAGGAGCTACGCGGATATCGTTGGGATGATGATAATTCAAGACCATAAACTGTTTCATTTTGAATCCCAAATCTCAAATACCGTATTTGCTGTAATAGAACCCTTTATAAGTACCTCAAAATCGTCTATAAATGGTTTTATTCACAAATAACCTTCTAAGCATACAAATTATGAACCTTCCTTGGATGACAATAATGAATGGCTTGCATGGGAACGCAGAGCTTAAAAAAGTCCTCCAAACTGAGCTCATCCTTCAGGGGAATCTCTCATCGTCCTTGTTCAATTTTCGAAATAATTCCATATTATTCTGGCGGAACAGAGAGGCCTTGTGTCCAGTCAAACCGATGTATTTCAAGCGACGAATCCCTTCTTCGGAGACAGACATCTTTTCAGCCAGGTTGATGATGTCGGCATTCTGGAAATGAACATTTTAGATTGAGATAGTAGAGCTTAGCTAAAACAAGGCTTAAAAATAGGCGAAAATACGCTTAAAACAGCCTAAAATCGATTTAGATAGTTTGAGAACGCTTTAGATAGCTTAACAAATGAATATCAAGCTAAATTACGTTAGTTTGAATATTTGAAATTGGTAAAAATTGTATATCTCTGAAAGCTCTGTTTCTGGCAATCAAAATGCGCTAAAAATCAAGTTTTTAGCTTAATTCTGAAGCGAGTTATAACCCTTTTTGCATTTAAGAGAGACGCAGAGAAACGAGAGCACTCTCGTTTCTCTGCGTCTCTCCTCAACGCAAAAATGGCTGTAATTCGGGTTAGAATAGACCTAGAAAAATGATTTTTGTTGCAATTTATTCGCTAGGAATGTGGTTTTTAGATCGGTTTTTTTAAAATTTTGGATTCTCAAAAAATATTAAAAATTTTTTGTAAAAAAATAAAAAATAAATGTTTTATCTGAAAACCCTTTTTCTGCTTTCCCAAATGCGCTAAAAATCGAGTTTCTAGCGCAAGTTTGAAGCTAGTTATGACCATTTTTGCATTTAAGAGAGACGCAGAGAAACGAGAGCACTTTCGCTGCTCTGCGTCTCTCAATTGCAAAAAAGACTATAACTCGCTTCAGAATCAAGCTAGAAACTTGATTTTTAGCGCACTTTGATGGTCAGATTTCGAGCTTCAGATGAAATACAATTTGCTATCTTAGCCTCTCTCAAATTGTCTAAAACTATCTTAGCCCATCCATACTCACATTCCATTGCCTGTAATCCTCCTTTCCACTATCCGGCAACATCAAAACCCTCCATGGCAGCACGAATTGCTCCTTCTTGGCCTCTGGATTCTCCTCAATGAACTTCTTGATAGGCTGCACGACTCCGCACCATTTTTTATAATCCTCCAATGACAGATTTCTGGGTACACTTTCATTTTTGGCTCCTGTGGTATAGGCAGCCAAATTTTTCATCCGTTCGTAGAATTGCAAGTCATCCGGATGGAAATTTACAATCTTTTCCATTCCAAAATGACAACGAATCAGTGCAAAAATACCTTCCTCGGTGATCCCGATCTTTCGTGCGATTTGGATTTTTTGGAGGTTCTGAAATTCGAATTTTTTGAGAACATCTTAAAATACCAATTCTAGCCATCAAAATGCAACAAAAACCATCTTTCTATGCCTATCTCAACGCGAGTTATAGCCATTTTTGCATTGGAGTGGGAGAAAAGTGGGCGGGGCTCAGCACACCTGGCATAATCCTTCCCGTGGGAAACTCCGCCCCCTTTTCAAACGTCGTAGGTACTGTTTGCGTCATCAGATAAGTAATTAGGGAGCAATAAACCGACATTGTGAGCGATGGTTTGACATGCATGTGACAGGGTGAAGAGAAAAGACAATAGATGACCTGATTCGCCTCTTTTGACCCCTTGTTATCGATGGGGAACAATGAAGGAACACCGCCAAGGATTTTCCGCCAACCACCAATCCCTGAAAAGTGCACAATTTTCTAGACCTTCTAGATCATTTTCAGGTTTTCACGAATAACAGTTCACCGATTTACAAACATTGGAAAAAAAGTTCAATTTT